CAAATTTCCGCTGGCACGGGAGTACCGTCTCTTCATATCATACTCGTATCAATATCCAACCGATGCCCTGGCAACAACGGCATAAATTTATGCAAATATCCCAGCAAATAAGTAAAATATTTCACTTGTCCAACGCTCTGGCTGTGGCTCTGGCTCTGGCTCTGGCTTTCTTTGCCAATTTCTTATTTAATTTTTCGGCTTCTCTTCTTTTTCCTTTTTTTTTTATTTATGGCAACTAATTTGGCAGAGTGGGCGTGGCCACTCGTACACAAATCAATTCCACTACATTGAAGCAAAAATCAATTGGAATAAAAAGTGACGAAGGATGGTGGGCGGGGGGGTTGGGTGGTGGGTGGGGTGGGGTGTCAGCAGAGATGCTTTCCTGGACGGGCAATTATATCTGAAGGAGTCGAGTGGCTCCACGGCACTACATCTCCAGCGAGAACACAAGTTTATCTGTGCATCCCGAGGACCAGGATTCCGTTCTGTTCTCCAGCAGAGCCCTCCTTTGTCAAGGACCCAGGTCTCAGCCCCCGACCCTGCCCCCGCCCCATGGCTCTGCAACTCTGCAACTCAATTAAAATGAGCTCAGGTGTAAATTTTATTGAAAATGTTTAATTGCCGACGACTTGGCATCGTCTGTCTGCCTCAGCCTCTGCCTCATTCTCATTATCTGCTCCATTATACTCTCGCAGCGATTTTTACTTGTAATTATTTTGTTTTTGTGTGTCTGTCCCACACACACACGCACACGCACACTGTTGCGCAATATTCTTTGTCCTTTGGGGTTTTTCGAGGATTTATTTATATATATATTTGCCTAAGCTGCTTCTGACATTGTCATGATGATGGTGCTGCTGCTGCTGATGTCGTTCCTGAATTTATCTGTATTTATGTGAGCGGAACCAGACCAGGAACATGGCCCGGAAGGATCCTTGCAACGAGGGCAGATCCACGAGGACGTCGAATGTTGTCGAAGGGCCCACCGCCCCCATAGACCTGGCGCTAGCAACGATGTCCTGCGGTGCTTAGTGCATATTGAAATTTACACAATTAACTTAATTGCCAATAGTTGTGTTGCCCCCCGCTCCCCGGCTCCCTGTCTCTGCCAACTGCTGCCACTCCTGCCACTCCTGCCACTCCGCTTCCCATGCCGCCTCCTGCGGTAGCTGTGGCAACAACAGCACTTTGTTCACACCCGACCGAGAGCTATGCTAACCCTTGTGCCGATCTATTTAATTTGAACAATTAGTATGACCGAATGTCAAGCATTATCTAATGCGAGAGAAGGCAGTCACGTGACCGCACGAATGCAAAACAGATTTGCGTGATGAATTTATGACTGACATTGATGGGCCCCGTCCCCGGCCACAGCCCGGACCCAGCCCGGACCCGAATCGCAGACACTTCACAACATGCAACAGAATGCGGCCGGAGGCCCGAGGGGTGTGTTCTTTGAAAGTTGCTCTTTTTTCACGCCCGCTCCTTGCCGGCAATCCTTTCTCCGTTTTTTTGTTAACCCTTTCCTCTTCGACCCGATCTAATGCTGCTGCTAAGGGGATTACGAGGCCGAGGTCGTGTGTCTGATGTTGATTAAACTGCTCCCATCTGAAATGAAATGTTCCCTCCTTCCGCTTCTTCATTCATAATTTATGCAAGTTTCTGGAAATTCGATACACCCGCATGGTCTAGAATTGCTTTAAATTTGAAAGTGCGCTACAGGGCCATAGGGGGGAGAGCACTAAGCCCAAAAGTCCAAAAGAAAATGCACATAAAAACAACAAACAGATCGGCATACACATATTCCAAAAGAGTATATGAATCTTCACATATTAAAGCCCTGCAAATAAAACTAAAGCAATGCCTATACAAACCATAAGGTTTCAGAGTGGAATCAAGCCTATAAATATCTGCTGGCCATCCTTGAATTTCATCGAAAGTCTACCAAGTAAACCCAGAGAAAAAATACCTGTAATTGACAGATTTACACTAAGATTTAAAAATATAGCTGCGAGTGTGGAAATATTCAATAGAAATACAGTAGAATCTCTATCTCTATCGGTTTGGGCAAGAGCTCTAAAAAATGCGCCACCGATTTCAAAGGAAAAACTGGATGAATATCTTCTTATTGACAATAGTTCGGCGATTTGTGAGGACCCTTTCGAAGACAACATTGCTAAGAATATATTAGAAGACGGACAGCATTTTATGAAAAAACCATATTGTTGAATTAAATTTATTCGATTATTTTTTTTTTGATTACAAAATAAATTTGCTATGTTCAAAAAATTGTTGTTATATCAAAAAATTGTTTTTTTTGTTTGCTCCTTTGGGATAGAGCGCCTTTCGGTTAAAACGACATCAAATCGTAGGTCACTTGCATTTTATTAAATTAAATATTTTTAAAATTTGATTTAAGTACAGGGTGCGCCATCTTTTAGTACGGTATGGAACAATCGAATAATCTTAAAAAAAAAAAACCAATTTCCATAAGTGAGGTATTTTTATTTGGTTTGGTTCTTTACAATATATTTAGACTATGTTTTGAAAACAATATCAATTAAGTGGCCGCCTCTATTAGCAATTCAAAATTGGGCTATTTTTTCTACGCTTGCCATTACCTTTACCTCACTTATGGAAATCGGTACTAAAATATGGCGCACCCTGTACATTTCCTAAATATTTAAATGCATATTTTACTATGATATTTATTATTCATTATTTTATTTTTTATTTATCTATTATTATATTATTTATTTTTTATTTATCTATTATTATATTACTTATTTTTTAAGTGTGTTTTTGAATTGGGCTCAAAGTGAGTTCAATTTATTTTCACCTATTATGTACTTAAGAGCCGAATATTCAATTAAACCATCTGTGCCATAGTTTTCTAGCTAAAGATCCTAGTTTTAGGATCTCAAAAACTCAAGCCAAAGACTTTTCCCAGAGTCCCACGCTCACTTGCCACTCCCCCCAGCCCGCAACCCACGGCCAGGAATCAAAGCACAACAAAAATCAACATGGAACATGGAACAATTAATAACAAATTAACATGATGGGGTCGCCTGGCCGGAAGTGAAACCAAAACCGAAAGCAAAACCGAAACCAAAACCAAAACCAAAACCGAGACGGCGCTACACCGAAGAACATCAATACTCGCACTCGTACTCGTCGCATAATGAAATGTATTTGTACAAAAATTAAGCGACAAATGCTTCGTTTCGAGTCTGCCCTGTTTGGGCATTGTTTTGTTTGTGTGCGAGAGAGAAGTTTGGCCCTCAAATATTTACACTAATCATTGTAAAACATATTCCTCAAGTGGTGCCCCGTAAGCCCTGGAAAATGTTGGGAAGGAAGACAGAAAACAATGGTCGAGGACGAGGACGAGGACGAGGTCGAGGTCTCAGGTCCAGTTTCGGTTGCAGGAGAGAACAAGAGAAACCTGGCCCGAGTCACGTGCCTCCCAGCACGTGTCCCTTTTAATGACCAGCGAATTGTGAAAGGAAAACACACACACACACACAGAGAGAGACAGAGAGACAGGGAAACCCGCAAAAAGGAAAATCAAAAAGTAACGCGGCTCCTTTCATACGATGCGATATATATTGAAATCCAATTCAATGAAATTGTTGCCACGCTCGAGTTCCATTAGACAAAACCAATCACAACAGCCGAACAGGGGGTCAGGGAGAGGTGGCAGAGGTGGGAACCCGACCAAACCATCCATCCATCCACCCACTCACTCAATTGTTGGTCAGTTGAGAATATTTCGACAATTTGCATGACCAACCCTCTCCACACACACACACACACAGGCACACAAAGGAACATGTCAGGCAGCAATTGAACTCTTTTCTCTGCCATCAATGGAGGCATTCGCCCCCTCCATCCGGCCCCGAGCTCTCGGCCCGAGCCCGGGCCCTTTTTAATTGAGGAACTTGGCTGCGGCCGCGTGTGTCGTGTGGCCAGCGAGACCAGAAACAACAAATAGATGACAGGCAACGCCTGACAATTGTCCTGTGGGCTGCAGGCTGCAATCGGGGACCAGGATTCCTCAAAGGGGGAGTGGGAGTGAGCAGAGCCGATACTCATATATCATCTCATCAAGCAGAAGGAATACTCGCCAAGACATCAAGGATATGGCAGTGGTATCCATCTAGGACAACATGTGTCACAGCTTCATTCCACACACGATTCCTCGTCAAGTAAGACGCAATAGTCGTATATCAAAAGCTAGGTAAGTACACCGATACTCTGTCAGTCCATAAACAATTCATTTATTATCCACGCAGGCTGCCGTGTGCTCTGATCTGATCTACTCTTAAATGCTGCACGCTTGATTTACTGGCAGCGGCTGCAAATCATCGCCCAAGCCGAAGCCCAAGTCAAGGCCCTGGAAAAAGGGATAAAGACAATGGACAATATGGGGAAAATATGAATATATTCACTGCCAGCCCATGCATACAGGGGTGAGGGGGTGTGACTTGGTCTCGTGTAGGCATGTGCGATAAATTATCATGTGCGGCAGGGTCTGGGGGAGGGAAGAAGGGAAGGTGTCGTGTCCTCTCTCAGACCGTAATTGGTAGTCAAATATGTGTGTCTCCCGCCGCCCTCGGCCCGGTCTTCCCTTTTTTTTTTGATATATTGGAATGGATTTGCTGGCAGACAATTTTATGATCGCTGAATTTATTTGATGCACCTCTCCCCCCTCCCCCGCCCCGCACACGCCATAAATTCCAATTGTTCTCCATCAGTCGTCGAAATCCTTCAAAACGGAAATTTATGCGTCCTGTTAAAAAACGTTTTGTACGAAATTTGGCTTAAAAATTAAACGAGTCGAGCTAAATTTTTTAACAACTAATAAATATTATCCCATAAAAAGGTGGGAGGGAGGGAGTGGCGGCCACAAAACCACCCCTGGATGGTTACAAAACAAAAATATTTATAAAGAAAAAGAAAAAGAAAAATTGCATATAAAAGTGACGATAAAAAATTACCTTTAATGTGCCATTTTTACTTTTGAATGTCTCTGCAAAAGAAAATGCGGAAAATGCATTAGCAAACGAGCAGGAATAGGGCATACTCTCACGGGGAGAGAGTTCTTTGTGGCTGGGGTTTTCATAAGTTTTCCCCTTCAGTAGAGTATTCCACGGGCCAAACGATTGCCCTTAGGATTGCCCGGAGGATGTACCTTTTCGGGGGTGGCCCACATACTCGTATAAAGTCAAGAGAATTTTGTGTTATATCATTTAAATTAAAAGCTGAGCTGACAATAAAAAGTATACAATAAACATTAACTCACGGACTCAACAATTCAAAAATTGTATACCATTGTATGGCTGCTATGGAGCTCTGTCCGGGCCGTAAAACATTTAATAACAGCCGAATCGGGCTTTTGATATGCCCAACAGACATTTGCAACCCCCAACAGAGGGAGTTTAAAATAAGAAATGCATTTAATCATTCGAGTAACAAGTGAGGAGCAACTTTTAAAGTGGCACTTTCGTCGCCTTTTATGCTTACTTGAACTGACCGCACATCAGGGGCGCCACCGCCACTGCCGCCGCCTCAAAGAAAGATCTTTCAACAGTCATTCCAAGACCATTGAAACCTTTTGTATTGGCCAGCCAGTAAATCGACCCCAGCTCCCGGCCAGCTCCCTGTTGCCAAAGGAAGTTCGCCGTTCTTGGGGAGTTGTCCAAGTTTGTTGTCCTCTTTTTATGGCTCTGGCCGGCTTGCCCCCGGCACTGGACACACATAAATTTCCATCCTCACATGTGACGAGAACGTTTTCCCACAGTTGTTCTCGGGCCATGGTTTTCGGGGTAGTGAAATCAAAAAGGAATTATTCTTGACCCATTCCGGCGTGGGGGAGCGAGAGGAACGGGTCGTTGCCTTTGTATAATTCCCCATTTAATGCCTAAGCCAACACCTCAAAGGGACCCAACAGCAACTCTGACGAAGATGAATACTCCTCCACTCGATTTGCATAGTTGGGGTCGGGCTGGGGTTGGGTTGGGTCGGTCCCTTCGGCCTGCCTGCTGACAGCCAAATGGCTTTGGCTGTGACTATGACTGAGGCTGAGGCTGAGGCTGACCTAACGAACCATAAATTAAACACGCTTTTGATGTCTTGGTCTGGCCAGAATGTTTACTTACTAAAGTTCTGGTAACATTGTAGAGGGTTTATCGCTCAAATTCGATTATAATGAAACCCAAGCAACCCAGAAAGAAAGACCATCTCCGTTTTGGGCCCGATCGAGCCGCACTATGCTTGGAGCTGTGGAAATTAATTGTGCTACCCTGGAGCCAGGGATGGATCTGGTTTTGTTCTGCTAAACAATTTGCATAAATTACAATACGAAGAAGCACATCCGAGGCAGCATCCAGGGCACATATCGCACCGGCAATAAATTCAAGTCAGACTTTTCAGCCTGGCTTAAGTCATCAAAATGGCAGTGGCAGCGGCCGAACGAAAAGAAAAATTGTCGGACAGCTAAAATTTGTTTATTTTTTGGGTAGAAAACCAGCCAATGAAAAAAAAACACACACACAAAGACAAACATCTGTGGCCACCGGGAACTATTTTTCGAATATTTTGATCAGATTTTTCAACTCAAACCAAAAGCCGTACACACAAAGCAACAATTACTCATCCCTCCGCAGGGTACAGTGCCGCCACTCCGCCGTACTAGTATGAATTATGTGGCAAATGCCTCGTTATTAATTAGACTCATTTGACGCTCGGCTTCAGGACTCGGCGCGGTAGAGATTGTTGCCATGAAGACACCTTAATTAAATGTCTGTCTGCGGTGGATGAGCAGAGCCAGAGTCTGAGTCTCCTGCGGGGTGGTTCTGTTTTTTGGCAACAATATTTTGCATATGCTTGTTTTTTGGCCCTGATGATTGTGCTCTACCCAGCCCCAGCCCCATACCCGACCCTGTCCCAGGAGATTTGTCATTTTAATTTCCATAAATCAATTTGTTAATTAGTGCGGCTCTTTTGGTTGCCTCTGCCACAGACAATGGAGGCGATTAGCCATCAGTTTGCGATTTCTTCAAAATGGCCACAGCAAGATCTTCGCGGTTTGAGTTAATTAGTTTCCGCAAACAGGTCCATCAAGAGTGGCAAGAGTACCCAAGAGTGGGTAGGACCATCTGTACACGAAATATAAAAACCTCTCCTGTGTCTTTGCCATTAATCCGCGGAGGCATCTGACGTACATACGAGTACGCCTCGGCCATTTGCCAAGTTCCAAGGAAACAAATCTACCGCTAGCAATGATTGTGCAACTAAATTAGTGTTATTAGCGGCGAAAGGGGTGGCCCGTAGGTCAACTAAGATGTGGTATAAGCACACTGATTGATTTTATTGTAAGAAAATGGAATGGCCAAGTTGTCAGCATGTTTCGGCTTCCTGTTGCTTCCCGCGATGCCGTGGCTATTTTCACTTAAAGCATTTTTGTGCTTTCGGAGCCGCCGGAATCAGCTCTTCTTAGAGGTGGCACAGCGATCAATCCTAGCAGGTCTGGACAGGTGACTTCCGAGACTGGCAGATGGAAACAAGGCTCATCCCCACCCACGAGGAGACGACCTGAAGGCTGGAGGGCAAGAGGTTCCATGGAAGACAATTGTCTGCGGCTCTGTAGATCGGGAAGACCTTTGGTGGGACATTGAAACAGTGCACTGCGCCTCGTACCTGGACCACAGCTGCCTCAGACCAGTGTCCTCCAAAGGGAAGGGAAGAATGGATCCAGTCCGGATGGGCTGCTCGCTGGCGATGCATTTGGTGAAGAACGGAATGCCCTGCGGACTGTCGGGCGGATCTGGAAAAGGAGTTGGGGCTTCAGAGGTGGATCCCTCGGCTCTGGCAGCACTTACTCTCGATTTCTGCATTAATTTTGATTGCCGACGACGCCGAAAGCAGGAAACTGTTTTAGATGGAAATATTCACGTCCACGGAACAGGAATACCGAAAGCACCTGGGAAACTGTTCCGAAATTTGTTTGAATCTATCGAAAATATTTGTTTCTGTGGAGCACACACACCGTTCAGTACTAAATCTGAAGGGCGCAGGCTGGCAGGTGGGCAATGGGGCTCTACGATCCTCCATTTTCCATGCTATATAGTCGGGCACCTACCTTGTAAAGGTAAAAGGTGTACAAATGTGGAAAATGTATTTAGGAAATCAGTACCATCGACTTCTCGCTTGTGGCATGTAAATGCTTTGAAAACTTTGGAAAAATACTTCAATTAAGTTTGTCGTTCGCTCGGAAAGACTAGTTTTGTTCTTAATTTGCATTTGATTTGCTTGGGGGCAAATCAAGCAGAGATAAGAGCCCCGATTTCATTACATTCCGAAGGAGAAGGCCACTTCTTTATGCCAATGTCCGCACCTCGCACAGAGACAAAGCAAATAAACAAACATAAAAACAAATAAAGCTGCCAGACAGCCAGGACATCGAGGGCAGCCAGGACATCCAGGGCAGCCAGGACAGCAATCGGCAGCAATCAGGAATCGGAATCTTTAATCCCATTTAGTTTTCGCATCGAACTACCGGGCAGGGCATTACTTCAATTTATTTTGATGGCCGAATGGATGGAAAAATGCGTAAATAGCTGCAGAAATATAAATATTTTATGGACAATTGGGAGGGGAAAAGCTTTAAAGTGCATTGGCTTTGAGCTTTAAGCTGCCTGCCACTCGAGTGGCGTGCCCCAAGACCCACCGACAAACCGAAGATGTGGCAGCAGCCATTTAATGTCACTTGGGCGCAACCATCAAGCATATTACGAGGACGAAGGCCCCAGCTCTACTCGGTGCTGCTGGGGCCATCCCGACTAGAGGCCACCCTCTTGAGCCCTCGATCGAAGCATAGAGACCCCTATCCTCCACCTGTTACATCCTTCGACAGGAATCCAATATACCCTTCGTACACGGCACGAGTGCCCCCATTTGATAACAACAACAGTTTACACAACAAAACAAACCCAAACGAAACGAAACCATAAGAGCGAAGGCGGAGAGATGGGTGGCAGAGGGTGTGGCCACATGTAGAGTGTTCTGTCCTGGCTTTGACTTTGACTTGAGGTGCATCCCGCCAGCCAGCCAGCCATCATCCAAAGTAAAATGCATTCAGCAACAATTGTTGCTAGCTGTAAATAAACACGACTTGCAGCCAACCCACATGTGTGCTCTCAGCCTCCACGCCCCCACGATGTGCACACACACTCCTGTGGGGGCTGCTGGGGGGAGGCAAACACTGAAATGATAATAAGGTATATAATTTAATATCAATCTGACAGCCAGAAGGCAACAAAGTGCGCCAAAGCCAGCGACCGACGAAGACTTCAGCGCATTCGACGCTGCTTTTTATGCTACACTTTTTGCGGCATTGCCTGCTAAAGATTGCGATCGATTGACTCTAACCTCAAAATCAAAACCTCAAATCTTTTCAATGGGAATTTGGTTAATTTCCTCCCCAAATCAGCCACTATTCTAGGACGGCTGCCCTCTCCATCCCAGGCCAGGTGGCAGAGCATCACCAAGTCGGCCTCTGCTCTCCTGCAATTCTTTCGCCGTTTCTGCTGCTGCATGCCATGCCCTCTGCGCGCACTTCACTTTTATACACGAGTATGCATTGTCTGTCGCTGTCGCCCCCTGTCTAGAGGTACTCAAATGCCCTGCTCCTCCCAGTATCTCCGCTCCTTGGTTGCCGTTTGTTTGCCCTTCCAGGGGGTATCACAATTTCGAGGATATGTTGCGAGAGAAGAGAATTTTGCACAGTTCTAGCTGGGTGCTCTAGTGCCCTGCCAATCGAAAGGGCATTCGGCAGCCACAGCCCACAAGAGCCTACGGTTTGCCGGCTTCCTTTGGCCCCCAAACCCCCAACCCCAAACCCATATTATGTTTCCGCTCATCTCACCTTTTCGCATTTTTTGCGCTGCTCCTTTCTCTCTGTCCCTCTGATATTTTTTGTTTGCTAACCAAATAAATGCAGCTTGTTGTTTGTGTTGAGCCAAGCAGAACATTTCCATTTGAATGTTCTTTTAAGCGAAAACAATTTCTTCTTTGTTTTGCTTTTGAGAATGTCTCCTCTTCATATCCCCTCCCTGGCCGCCCCCCACCCAGTATTGGCCTTTGTGCAGAGTGTTTAGCAAATTAGATCATGGATTTTCCCTTCTGATTTTCGGAAGGTTATCGCTTGGATGTCATTATCGGGTCCCGCCCCTTCCCCCCTCCCCCCCACACACACACACAACACCCGCCTGAGTGCCCCGCGAGTATAATATTCGTATTCTTTCCCCCTTTTGTTGTGCACCTTTCAGGTATGCTGGATATTTTTTTGTTTGTTCTTTAAAGCATTTCGCTTGGATTTTATTTTACATTTTTTTATGCTGCAACTATAAAAAAGTTTTTACATTTTTTACGGCACTTATTTCTGCTTTCTTTCTCTGCTTTCTGCGGCGGATAACAAAAGAAGTTTTCCGAGGGCGAGTGCATTATATTTTGGACTTACGGCGAGAAGTTGATTATGTTGATTTGTGGAATTGATTTGCCCCCCACGCCCACACCCCACCCATCCCGCAGCACTGCACTCTGCCAGGCACTCCTTACTATCATAAAATATTCGTGGCATGTGGCATGTGGCAGGGCAAATGTTCCAACCGATTGTCAGTGGATGTAATGCCATGCCACAGATAAAAGAACGTGCAACGTGGATAACTGTGAAAAATGCATCTACTATTTATTCGCAGACCCTTTTATGCGAGATCTTCAGATAAGTTAATTAAGGAGGTTATTTGATTAATTTCTTTAGATTTTCCAAGGGCCGGGGTACTAGCCACAGGACCTACGTACAGGATTTCGGGCAGCAAGGGCCGCGGCTCGATTCCAAGGAATAGGGAAAATTCTATTGCAGATTTTACTAGAGATACTCGAACAACAAATGCGTTTAAGGTCTGGCCTTAGCACTAGAAAATTCGTTGGGGGAAGAAATCTTTGAAGCAGCCCTGAATAAGCCTTCGAATTTCTCCCCTCAAAATTCGAACTCCAGAGCCATGCGTGGCACTTTCCCCTCAAAAATTTCGAACAACGTAAGGGAGGAAAACGTAAGACGTAAGCGAGCAGGGGATGGGAAAAACGTAAGGCCACGGAAGCATGCATGCCGCGTGAATGTAACATGCCACAAGTGTGACTGCAACCGAGCTCTCTCTCTCGCAGTCCGACACTTCTCTCTCTCTCGCTCTCGCTCTCTCGGGGCTGTGAGGAAACGTTTACTGCACGTGACGGAAAGTCAAACATTACGGCACTGCACGGCGCTCTGCCAACAGGCAGCAGCACGTGAGAGAGGAGCCGCAGAGAGAGAGAGGGAGAGAGAGAGGGAGAGAGAGCGCGCGCCCGTGTGGCATTGGGTGGTTCGGATGGTCTGGGTGGTTGGAGTCGTTGGGGTGGCTAGAGACCTTGGCCGCTTCCCGGGTATAAATACGAGCGCCCTGGCGGGCAGCGCCTCAGTCGAACAACAGAGCTCGACCCGAGAGAAACTTACCGAGGAAGCCCTCAAGCGGAAGCGCATCAAGTGAAACACCGTAACCAGCGTATTTTTTTGACGTAACCTTTGCCCACGAGTCCTGCCATGGCCATTCCCTTCTATGAGAACGAGCACGCGTCGGCGACGGCAACCGCGCCCAGTGACAATGCCACCGCCACCGCCACCGCCACCGCTGGCGACCAGGTGGATGGACCGCCGCTCCTCGATCCCGGATTCGACCATGTGGACTACGAAGGACCTCCGCCAGCAGCGGCGCCATCAACGGCAACAAGTGAGCCGCCACCGAGCGCCGAGGAGCAGCTACTGGCCTGGAAAATGCTGGCCCTGACCATGTGCAAGGTCCTCAAGCAGTTCTGCCAGCATCACAAGCAGGCCACCGGGAAGCCCACCAAAATGACGGCCACCGTCCAGATCCAGCCACAGAGCCAGTAAGACCCCCGCCCCCCCCGCAGTATCCCCCTCCACCACCACCCACAAACAAACAGAAGCAGGACCCGGGACAACCGTGCCCGGAGCTCTGAAGCGGCTCCTAAAAGCGCAACTTGTGATTACTTTACCGTTGGCGAACACGTGAGAACTAGCGCAGCGCCCCAGCCCCAGCCCCAGCCCCAGCCCCACACCACACCCAAACCCCCGCCCCCGCCCCCGCCCCCGCCCTAGGGACAGAAGGAGACGGAGACGGAGACGGAGACGAAGACGGGAGAGAGAAAGAGATTTAGGAAGGATTTGAGAGTGCAAAATGTGAATCAATTTCCCAAGGAAAAACCCCAGAAAGTAGTTTTTATACACCACGTATTTTCTTTGAGAATGGAGAAATGATTTCGAAATTGCCGTCGCGACACACACTTTTTGGATAAGCGCAAATGTGATAAATAATTTTGCTAAAAATATTTCCAGTTCCCTCCCCGGAACCTCCCCCCCCTCCCCACGCAAACTTATCTAAGTTTAGTTCTAATCCTAAGTTAAGTTCTCCCCAGAGATCCGATCCGATCCGATCCGAACCCATCCGATTCGATCTGGAAGCAGCAGCTAGTTTTCAGAGTCTCTCTCCGAAGAGAAGCCCAACTTAGTGGATAAGCCGAACACACTTCGTATATATCCTTCAAATAAGTCTAAATATATATATGTGTCCGTGTGTAGGTACAACATTTTTTTTACAAACAACTCTCTTGGTGTCTATTTATCAGAGTTTCAACTTCCTAGGTAGAATGCTTCTTCGACTTAGCGAATAGTTATGCAAATACAAAATATGTTAGGTGTATATTTTTGATATTTTTATATTTGCTTTGCCAATCGATAAGTGTCAGCTGTGCGTTTGTGTCAACTTAGTTTCCATATATGTAGATCCCTACTCATAAGCAATACGAGGACTTCGCCCGACTGAAGGACCCTCAGGTCTGGGAGGAGGCAGGACACTTCCGCGTGTCACGAGCATACTCATAGTACAAGTTCAAAAGTAGAAATATTTACATCCATACAACAACAACAACAACAACAACAACCACCCTCCCCCCACCCCCACTACCCCCCACCACACAAAACACAAAACAATTACTATTATTAGAGATTAAGCAATTTTTTAGATCTAAGCTAAGTAAACCCACAAAAATAGTGTGCATAAAGCAAATTACAATAAAATATTATGAAAACGCATTGGTTCTTGGCTTTATTTTGACGGGGATTTCAGATGCTGCCAGGCACCGCCCTAAGGTGCCAGACTACGTATATAGCATGGGAAATGGAGGATCGTAGAGCCCCATTGCCCACCTGCCAGCCTGCGCCCTTCAGCTTCAGTCGTGAACAATGTGTGTGCTCCACAGAAACAAATATTTTCGATAGATTCCAACAAATTTCGGAACAGTTTCCAAAGTGCTTTCGGTATTCCTGTTCCGTGGACGTGAATATTTCCATCTAAAACAGTTTCCTGCTTTCGGCGTCGTCGACAATCAAAATTAATGTAGAAATCGAAAGTGAGGGCTGCCAGAGCCGAGGGATCCACCTCTGAAGCCCCAACTCCTTTTCCAGATCCGCCCGACAGTCCGCAGGGCCTTCCGTTCTTCACCAAATGCATCGCCAGCGAGCAGCCCTTCCAGACTGGAGAAGAATGGTCTTAGGTTCCCTTTGGAGGACACTGGTCTGGGGCAGCTGTGGTCCAGGTACGAGGCGCAGTGCACTGTTTCAATGTCCAACCAAAGGTCTTCCCGATCTACAGAGCCGCAGACAATTGTCTTCCATGGAACGTCTTGACTTCCAGCCTTCAGGTCGTCTCCTCGTGGCTGGGGATGAGCCTTGTTCTCATCTGCCAGTCTCTGAAGACGCCAGTCCAGACCTGCCAGGATTGATCGCTGTGCCCCCTCTAAGAAGAGCTGATTCCGGTGCCTCCGAAAGCACAAAAATGCTTCAAGTGAAAATAGCCACGGCATCGCAGAAAGCAACAGGAAACCGAAACATGCTGAAAACTTAATAAATATACAGATCTCCACGGAGATCTGGCACATTTATTCATTCCAATAAAATCAAAATCGAACAATATGTCCCCGTATGCTTTGCCGCAGATTGTGCCACATCCTAATTAACCTACGTGCCACCCCTTCCGCCACTAATAACCATAATTCACTGGCGCAATCATTGAGAATGCCTTACCACCTCAAAGAGAGTCCACCTCGCCCCGCCGTGGCCGGCACCATAACTGTTGCCACAGAGAACGAGATCAAAGCCTTTTTGCCAGACAAAGGACTCTCGATAATTCCTCATATTGCCCCCCGCTCCCGGGATATGCCAGGGAAAACTTCATACAATCGATGCGGAAAAATGTCGCGTGGCGCCCCCGTAAAAAGGCCTTTGGGCAAAGGAGAAAAAAAATAGAATAAAAAGGAGACGACAGAAATCTTTCAACTCCCGATTTTTAATACGCTTTGTATGAAGGCAAATACTGTGAAAGGATGTGGGATGCTAAGCTGCTTTTTTAATTTTCTAAAATCCAAATAGAAGATTTTCTAGGCGTCCGTCCATCGAAGCCATCAATCAATCCATAATAATATCAATCAGGGCGATGGGCAAAGAACAAATAACATTTGCCAAATCAACTTTAGACCCCCCCACCCCCCAGCCCCACCCCCACACCCATTCCCCCGAAGAAGATTTTATAATTTTATTTTTTTTGATATTTCCCTTCGAGGCAGATAAACGAAAAGTGAAGGATTTTCGAGGTTTCGCATTTCGGGAGCTGGAGAAATGCGCATTATGGGAGATGGTTAACGGTTAACTGTCTGAATTCAATCAAATGTCCCCCCGGGAATTTGCACTTTTGTTTGCTTCCACGGGCTTCCACACATGATACCCGGCCATCCTTCATCCTTCATCGTTCATCCTTCAGCAACCCTTTCCCATCGCTCGCCAGCGGAGAAAGCAGAGAAAGCGGACCGCTCGAGTGCATGTGTGCGTCCGTCCAGCGCAGAGATGAGGAGAGGGTGAAGTGGTAGTGGTAGTGGTTTTGGTTTCGGGTTTGGCTTTGATTTGGTAAGGTGACCCATAAACAAACAGATTCCTACTTTTTGCCAGCGAAATCTTCGTGCATAGGGTATGCAAGGGGTGTGATGGTCTAGTCCATGAAGCCCCAAAACAAGTACTTTCCTGGGGCAAACATATGAGTATGGTCCCTGCCAGATCTGTGGCTATTCGAGTGCCTTTGGAGGCATTTTTTAACTTAATTGAAAGTACACAACATTTACTAAGCAAATCAATTGCTTTTTCTCTGTACTTTTTTTGTAGTGGTAGTGGTGGTGGTCCCTGTCCCGGGGGAATGTTTGCATACTCGAAAACGAGATTATTAAAAATAAATTAGAGGTTTCCTTTTGCCCTAATACTAGTCGGAGAAGTGGTCCATTCCAGAGAGGCTTCAGTTGGTTCTGTTTGGAACGTGCTCAAGTGCGGATTCATTTCAATTTGGATGGGCTCTGGTTCGGGTTCGGGTTCTGGCTGGGGAGTTACTTTCTGCTTTCAGGATTTTTGTGGTCATCATTAGTGTGCTCTATTAAGTGGAAGCTCTGTCTGTGAAGCAGCTTTAATCCCTAATCTCTGGCTCTGGCTCTGGCTCTGGCTCTGGCTCAAGGTCGTTGCATGCATATGTTGCATCTTCGAGCAGCCCCTTCTCCGCAGCAGTGCCAGCATATGCTGAACTAGAAAAACACGAAATGGGGGGGGGGGGGGGATTTGGTTCCCTATTTCGGGTTCCGCAAAGGGTTGCCTGCACCACACATCTGGGATCTGGGTCAAGGTGAAGAAGCGCACTCGGAGTGCACTCAAACTGGTTTCACGAAAGGATTCAGGCAGCTTGCACTCTTCAAAACACACAAACAAAAATAGGAAAACAACAAAATAACCTCCTCGACTAGATCGGATCGAAAGATATAAACGATATCAAAATCGAAAGGAAAAAAAACCATTCAATTGAGTTTCAGGCTCCACCCACGTTCATCCCTTGACGCAGAGGAGGCACTGCTTGCACTTCATTATTACAATTAAAGCAGATCAGAGCAGTGGCGGAGTGCGAAAGCAGGGAGCGGCCGATAGGTGGGGGGGAGAACGCGGACAAAAGGCGCGAAAGACAAAAGGCGGCGACAGTCAAAAGGCAACAACAAGTTGCCAGCGCCAATGTCAAAGGTAATGACAGAAGCCAAACAATTGAAAAGTTGCAACAAACAGAGACAGGCCCCAGCCCTGGGAGGGGTGCAGCAGGGAGAGAGAGCGAGAGAGTGTGGAGAAGCGGAAAGCGAAAACAAAGAGACTTCGTTAGCTTTGGCGGCTACAGAAAAATGTATACAAAAAAATTATTGGATATCTATGGACTCGAAACCGATGCTTCTGATACCCTGGGCGGCCCCAGCTTTCCATCGAGAGATTTTTATGTAAAAAATGCATCTGATTTCTATTAGATTTCCTTGAATTCGATTGGCTTTCCTTTGGCTTTCCTCGTTGCGCTGCAATATCGGTATACCCTCACCGTGGAAGGGTACACAAAAAATATGGCAAACAATTGTCAAAGCAAAAACGAATGAGAAAATAACTTGGTAACAATTTTCGAGCAATATATTTTCCACTGTTGAGCAGAACTTTTCACGCGCTTTTTGATGTTTTCTTTTCCGGTTTTCTGCAAAAGTGCAAAAATAACAAGGAAAAATTGCGTAGAAATATTTAATGAGGCCAAAGTGCGAGTGCAAGTGGAAAAGCGAAGGAAAAGCCAGCCAAACAAAAAAAATCTAATTTAATAATCAAATAAAAAGCTGGTCACAGGGCACCACAGCAGAGCAGAGCAGGGGACAGGAGCAGGAGCAGCGCTGTCCCCAGAGAGCAAAAAGAGAGACAGAGAGAGTGGTAGAGGGAGAGGAAGTCAAGGAGAGAGAGAGCTATGCAAATGCAAGAGAGATAAGGGGAAACAAAAAATGGTATTCGCATAACTTGGGCGATTTGACAAATTTACGAGTGAGTTTAGCGGACTAATCATTACAGATCTTTATGCCACTCCCCACAAAGAGCGCCACCCCCCGAGGCCAGTATCAACAAGGAGTGCCCGCAGAGAGGGGGCGAGCGTTGACAACGGACGTCGCTGCTGTGTGGCCTCTTCCTCATCCTCTGCTCTGCATTTTTTTATGTCTTCTCTTATGCTGGATACCCTAACTAAAAGCAGAGAGAGTGTCCCTTCACATATCATCTGAGCGCATGAAAACGGGTATATTCCTTGTCCAAAGCACCAATCAGCACTTTCGGATGAGCGCAATACTCAATATTTGGCTCCTAATCGAATGCCAGACGAAGAAACGAAGCGAATGTACTTTTCGGCGTTGTAAGGGTATTTCGCATTCAGCTCTGTGCCCGCAGAGACTTTTCTCTTTATTGTAATAATTTTTTTTCGTTTTACAGAAGAAGAAAAAAATAGAGAAAGAGAAAACGAAAAAGAAAATCTCTTGCACATAATTTTAATGTTTATCGTCTTTTATTGTCAAACAAATTATTTTTGATATTTGTGCTGCAGGCTAACCCCCCCACCCCACCCCTGTGTCAGGTGATGCTGTCTGGGAAATGATTCAGCTGCTGGGCGGGTGGGGAGGTTACGTAACCAAGGAGATCCTGCACCCACACACACACACACACACACACACACATACACACACGTCTGGTAATTTGATTAGCTCGGGAGGGGGCAGAGAAAGAGAGAGAGAGAGAAGGAGTGGGGAAATGGGATGGCATAATAATCATAAAGAAAATCCAGAAACGACATCCTGATCTCTATCGGGGCCAAAGTCAAAACAATTTAATGCATGAATAAAAAATAATTTCCTTGCGAGGACATCCTGCTGCGGAGTTTTATTAGATTTTTGCCAAAGAGCAACTTAATATGTAGTCAGTCCCCACCCCACCCCACCCCAAGCCCCACACTCCCCCAATAATACTCCTTCCAGGGCTGCCTTATCTCTTCCTGGATTTGTCTTCTTCCTTTCATGTCTCCTTCATCTCTCAATACATCCCCACACACACACATCGTCGTACATATTGGATTATTTATCCAGGCAAAAAAATGACATCCACTGCCATTTTGCATATGAATTAAAACGCAATAAATTAGCAAAGAAAAGAGCCCTGTCTGCAGCCAATTGATGTTCGAACCAAAGGCTGTACAGTTTCTTGGCAATCGAACATCCTACCAAGGGGACAAGGGCGGGGCGGAGTGGCCCACAGGAAGCCTTTGTTTGCTCTGCTAATGCCTCGACGTCGCGCTGTTTGTCGTGAGATTAGCTCAAGCCGATAAAGCCAGCAGCAGCAGAAGAAAAAGCCGCGTTCAAGTACTGGCTAAACGAGACAGAAAGGCACAAGCGGGAGTACCACCAAGAGGGAGAGAACAGGAGCGCAGAGTGGAGTAATGAGGAGTGAGTAACGAGGAGCAAGTAATCGAGAGAGATGAGTTCGAGGGACAAAAGGAAGAGAAAATTGTGAAAAATAAATATAAAACGAGTGATCCTATCGACATTATCATTATTGAGAGAAAGTAGAGAGAGAAACCCCTCACATAAACATATATTTTGAGGTTATGGACGAATAGAAAGCAGGTGGAGGAGCACTACCACCTGTAGAATCACGAAAACCACGAATACCACGGAATGACTGCAGATTGCTATAGGGAATACCCACACTTTAAAGCCAGGCGTCACAAACAGAGAGAGCTGTAGGTAATGTGGCGAGCCTGGGGTAATCGAAACCCTGGAACACTTCATCTGCAACTGTCCGGCCCTCCTAAGGGCTAGGAGGAAATACCTGGGCGCATCAGTGCTGCCTCCAAGAGGATTCTCGGGGACTCTAAAATCCCCCAAACGCTGCCTATGTGGGGCCCCGCTGAAGTCCTTCCGGCTTAGCCCCACCTAACCTAATACTATGGTAACAATAAGTACTCCACTGCCATGCAGCTGAGCCGCTAGCCCGTTTAGACAGTACTCAAAAGCGGAGAAAAGCAATGGCATCAAAATGCCAC